AGTTCCTCGTTCCCTTTCTCCTTCCTCTTCCTTTCCTTCTTCATCAATCAATTCATCATCATCATCAAACAACACCCATAAAAATAAAGAAATTATTTATTTATTTTTTTGTTGAAGAAACCAGAGCCTGGGTTCCTTTAAAGAACCCAGGCGCGGGTTCGAAGAACCCAAGCCTGCTGGGTTCTTCAAACCCAGACTTGGATTCGAACCCAGGCGCAGGTTCGAAGAACCCAAGCCTGCTGGATTCTTCAAACCCAGGCGCGGGTTCGAAGAACCCAAGCCTGCTGGGTTCTTCAAACCCAAGCTTGGATTCGAACCCAGGCGCAGGTTCGAAGAACCCAAGCCTGCTGGATTCTTCAAACCCACGCTTGGGTTCGAAGAACCCAGGTGCTGGGTTCCCTCGAACCCGCGCCTAGGTTCCTTCGAAGAACCCAAGCGTGGGTTCTTCGAACCCCAGGCGTTGGGTACCCCCGCCTGGGTTCCTTGAAGAACCCAGGTTCCTTCGAAGAACCCAAGCGTGGGTTCTTCAAACCCAGGCGCTGGGTACCCGCGCCTGGGTTCCCGCGCCTGGGTTCCTTGAAGAACCCACGCTTGGGTTCTTCGAAGGAACCCAGGCGCCTGGGTTCCCTCGAACCCGTGCCTGGGTTCCCTCGAACCCGTGCCTGGGTTCCTTCGAGAACCCAGTAGCTGGGTTCTTCGAACCCCAGGCGCTGGGTACCCACGCTTGGGTTCCTTGAAGAACCCAATAGCTGGGTTCTTGAAGGAACCCAGGCGCGGGTTCGAGGGGATGTGAATGGGAAGAAGGAGGGAAGATAGTATTTTTGCAGGAGGTGGGCCCCACATTTTTTTTTGTTGGTTGAAATCTGACGTGTTTTAATGACATGGTATTGATCTGTAATAATATTTTGACATGTCATCATTTTCTGTTAGTTAACTGGACACATCATTGAATTTTTAACGGAAGGACCAAATCGGGGTAAAAAAGGTAAACAGTAGGGACCAAATCAGGGATTTTTTGAGTTTAGGGACCAAATCAGGGGTCCGTACAATAGTTGAGGGACCAAAAAGGGGTTTTAACCTTTTTTTAATATTAAATTTTTTTTAAAAAAAATGTATATTAATTTTTTACTAAAT